GTGGAAGAAACGGACAGTCTTCCATGTCAAGAAATTAAAACAAAAACGGATACAAAGCGCGCACGGAAGCTGTGCTTGAACAATGGAACATCAATCAGCTGTCGACATGGCGTTGCGAAAGCACAAGTCTTTTGAAGAATGAATCGTTTTGAGCTTCTTCCCATATGGGCTTTGCCCAAGCTGGTTCCCCAAATCTGCTGGACCTTCCCATCTGCTGCACCAAGCCCGCTGGTTCCTTCACACCTCTCCTTGCACCGATGGTTCACGCAAGTGGTGTTGGTGGAGTTGTCGCAAAGGCCAAACCTGTCGCAACACCGTCGGAGTGGACCAGAACTTGACACGACCCGACCTGGAAGGTACCTGGCTCTTCACAGGTTGACACAGAAACAAGGTGTTATATATGAATCACATTATATAAATATGTGAGAGAGCCTTACCCTATGAAAGAATAGTTTAATGTGATTGCTTATTTGACTTCCAGTGTTTCTGTGAGAAAATGTAATGTTTCTGTGATAAAAAAAGAAACACGAGCAAACAATGTGTTGGGGTCTGCTCATGTTCATCCAAGCCACCCATGCAATGGGCCCTAAGCGGCGGACATGAGCACCCCAGCAAGCAAAGGGTTCCGATCAAAACACCCCCGGTCCATTGAGCCCCGTCCAAAGCCTCTTTTCTGCACTCCAGCTGGAGGCTGGAGGACAATTCTATGAACATTCACACATAACGATCATACATGCCGTTACGCGGCTGCAAAGTCCTTCCATCCCATCTCGTATGTGCTTTCAACTGGAGACATGTGAATCATGTCCGAGGATGAGCATCACCATCCTGCAGGCCTCAAGCTGCCTCCACAACCATCCTGAAGGCGGAGAAGTTCGGGCAATCACCGTGCGACTCTAATCGTGCGGAGAAGTTCGGTCCTTCTAAGCATTTCAAAGCCAAACTCTGATCCTTTTGGCGAAGATGCCACACGGACCACCCGAGATGCCAAGTTCTACTTTCAATCCCGATTTTCTGGAAGCCGTTGGCAGAACAGTCAGCAACAATGCTGTTTGACTCCAACTGCTCTCCCTGGAAATGATATGAAGCTTGGCCCACCAAGCCTTGTAATTGCAGGGCAGATTACCCGGGTCAAGATAGTAGTTCTATCCAGGGCAAGTGTATGTAAATGTCATACTTATGGGGTGTGCGTAAAGCAAAAACCATGCACTGGGCACGCTGTTCCGTTCCATTTCGGGACCAAACCAGCTGAACGACCTTGTCAGCCTACAGTGTGCCTATAACAGACATTGCAGCTTGCTGTGACCAGTTCAAGTTCAGTCTGCTCGTCCCATCGCAGGTTCATCCCAGCCTCCTCCACCCGCAGGTCCGAGGTCCTGGCCTCATAGCTTCCGCAGTCCCAGCCCTGGAAACGAGGCTCCGAGACCTGCGGATCGGTGCAACGGCGGAGGCGCCCCTCATCTTTCAGGCACTGAAGGATGAGGAGGCTGAGGATGATCCTCTATCATCTATCTACTCATACTATACTATACTATATTGTTAACATGTATCAACTATCATCTACTATCAGCTACTATCTACTATCATCATGGATCATCTATCTCATTACTGAATGTTCTTGCGCACAATGATGATAACTGGCGTTACTGGTTACAATTTATTAGTTCTGGGTAGTCGGCTAGGCCGGCTTGCTGGATGTGAACAAATGCTGCAACCACCGCGGCAACAAACATGCTGTCCGTTGTTCAGTCCACATCGGCTCCCCCTTGGGAGCCTGAGAGGAAACCACCTCACGACGTCCGAACTGCCTCCAAGCGACCGAGGTGGTCACATCTGTTTCCAACACCACAACTTGGTTACAACGGACGGAGGGGACAACTAGTTGAGGTGACAGACGGAGGGTGCAACTTGGATAGAGTATGCGGACCTATGTAGAGGTGTATTGAATTTAGAAAATTCGATTCAATATATTTAGTGAGTGTTTTGTTCAAATAGAGGGAGATTCCCTAGTTGAAAACACATCATAAACACCCAGAATGGCCCAGATCAGATGGATAAAATCATATAAAATCACGTCGTCTTCGAAAAACCTGCCGCACAAAAAGCCCGTCGTCTTCCGTCGTCTTCGGTTCGTACCAGCTTGATTGGTCGCCTCGAAGCGGCCTTGGCACACGCAGCGATTCGATTCGCAGAGCTGCCGCAACCTCGACGAGGGTCGAAGTCGTTCCGGCGACGAGGGTCGAAGAGACGAGATTCCCAGAGCTGATAGTCGGTTCCAGAGGGTGGGGTCCTTTGGGTATGGACAAAAGACACGGGTAAACTTATGGTAAACTCATAGAACAAGTTCAGAACAAGTGCGGAACTTCATCCTCAACACTTCATCCTCACAGCATCTCACAGCCGTTTGGTCCACGTTGTTTTTTGAATGCTTTCTGCCTCATGAAGGCACTTGGTCAACGGTGCTTTCAAGGTGCCAGTGCTGGTGTTTGGTCATCAGGAGGTTTGTCGCTGTAATGATTACTGGTCAAGGGCATAATCCCCAATGTGGGTCACTGAGTCTGGAATTGTCAAGTTGACCAAGG